TATATATATATATATATATATATATATATATATATATATATGTATTTATTGACTTTTTGCACAAAAATAATTCACGAAAAGAAATAATAGAAACGAGCGTTTATTAAAATTGAGTGTTTTCGCTATAAAATTTGTTTCATTAATGATTAATTAGTTTGATTACAAGGATATGAAAATTGATAAAATGTTTACGTAGTTAATAGAACAGATTACATTATTTTAGTAATTTATTTTTATGTAAAATTTTATTATGCGTCGGTTTATTTATATCTACCTTTTAAAATTATGAAGGTTCTTGGTATTTTTATGTATAAATATATTTTGTCACGCAAATTTCACTCACGTTAAATTTTATAAATCTATTACATTTAACTACGTAAAATATCATTCAATCTATATCACATAAATTAAGTTCTGTTATTTAAGTTAATATTATACTCGTTGTCACTTTTTGTTAAAAAAATTTATTGTTCAAAACAATATAATAGAATAATGTGAAAAAATGATAAAAAATATTAAGACAAAAACTTTAATAAAGATACTTTATATTAAATATGAATATGCGAAGATCTTTATAACCATGATCCTCAAAAATTTAACAGAATCAATATTATTATTAAAATAACGTTGTTTTTGTTTCAATATAAGCATTTGCCTGTTGTAACAATGTACACTTTTTTTGTATGAAAGTACAATTTTTTACAACAATATTGTATGAGCAATGTTTTATGTGATCAGGTATATAAATGCATATTTCGCTGATACTACTTACACTTATTTGGTTCTCGTATTAATAATAATTAATCATCTGTTATTCGTATATAGTTCATAAAGTTCAATTTCATATAAGCATCTATGTTATGTTATTTTATGCTTTAAGTTTTATGTTTAAATTAATTTTCATACTGGATCAGTTGCATTAATAGTCGATATTCAAAATACTACCGGATGTATCCTGTTAACCCTTCTAATCTAGTATGTAAGTCATCGTTCATTATAATAATATTTAAACATTATGCTAATAAGAGTAAATAATTTTGTTTAACGGTAGTGTAGATAAAAATTGTTTCTGTGAAGTTATTGAAGCAATTGATCCATCGTATTTGTTCTGTACTGTACATAAAATTTTGTAATATATTATAGTTACTATTTTCTATACAGTATATTAAAAATACGTATATATATATATATATATATATATATATATATATATATAATCGTTATACTTGTTCAGGGTAACACAGGGTCATAAAATTTATTACCAATATAAATACGTAAATATATGTTATTTGGGAAACAGGGCTAATGGTGATCATTTTTTACTGTTTAAATGTGAAATTTTTGTATTTTTTTGGTGGAAAAATCCAATAAAAATTTATCATCCAAAAAATACATTTTTTCCTTTACATTAAACCATGGCAAGGCAAATATGTAGTCAGAGATAGAAAACCTGGATTTGGATTCGAGAGTACATATCTATCTTATCACTACAAAGTTATTCAAAAGGTTAGTTAATATTCGTTGATCGCCATTTGTCAGATATCAAAAAGAAAATAATTTTTTATTATAATGGTTACATTTCCTTTTGTAGGTCATAATTTTTTTTCTTAAATAAACTATAAAAAATAATATTAACTCAAAAGTAATGCAATACAAGACATTCTGTTAAGAATAAAGAAATATATTTATTGCTATCTTAATCATTAATTTACTATCATAGCTTTAATTGTTATAAACTTTTTTATTTAATTATTTAATTCTTGAAAGAAAAAATAATTTGTTTTTACTTTTATATGCTATCATTGTTTATTAAATTACCAGATTACGCCACTATCATCAATACAAATATTATTACACGGAAAATTTTATATATCAGTATTCCGATCCTTTAAGAATATTTTTCAAGTGTTTCATCTCGGTCATTTTAATTTAATTTTAATCATTTTCACTGATTAATTGTATTCTTGTGTTCTCTTTATAATAAAATATGAAAGTGTTTGCTACTCCTCACATACTTACAGAAGGAACAAAAACAATAAAAAAGAGTTTCAACCACAATACTCAGTGAACCAAATAAATTATCTATCAACAAATAATCAAATAAATAATTGAATGTAACAATAAGGACACTCATTTTTTTCGGCACAACCCTCACTATAATGAAGGTCATATATAATTAAAGTTCAAAATCTAAAACCAAAAATGTAATGTTGCAGAAGCTAGAAGAACAGTTCGCAATGCAGCTCGAGGAACAGGAAATTGTCTATGGGCCGAGTGCAATACCGCTTTGTTTACCTTCCGATTTGCCTGACTTGACGCATCACACAGCGAGTTCAACGCGCAGTTCATTATCATCGGTAAGCGAGGGTTAGGGAATGCTGAAAATAACGGGCCGGGCCTTTTCCACCACATTGTGTCGATCAAGCGCAGCTGCTTGCTTAACAAGGATCTCGCACATGCTCGAACTGATCTTGCCTTGCGTTGTCTTCCTACGTAAGCCTTCTGCTACAATGTTTAAATATATTCCAATTTTATGGCAATCCTGCGGTTATACCTATAGAGATTACGACTCGATAAGTGCGAGACTAAAGCGATTAATAGCCTCGCAAATTCAACTTATGCTGTCGTAAATATGAGAATGGGTTTTCCACCTACGTAATACTGACAATAACGCGTGTGCACGCGTACCAATTTTGAGTTATTTCGTTCTAGAGATGTAGATTTCTCATTAAGTTGCGATTTTCGTGACACTCTATTTATAAGGAAGGAAAAGATATCGGAGAATTTTTTTTCTACAGGAACATTAATACAGAACAAGGACGATTTTTACATTTAGCATATTTTTTAAAAGTTATCAGTGGATTATTTGCATAAATGAGATACGTTGTGTAAACTTTTGCCCAAAAGATGAAAGTGTAATGCCTGACGTGAAAGAGCACATACTTGTGCGGCGAGCCTACATTTGAGTTGTGTATAAATGTATATGTTATGCCTTACAATTTGCGATGGCTGTCGGATGAAATATAAGGATTATTATAATAGAAAATACCTTATAAATATTGCTTAATACTTTAAGGGGCATCAGATCAATTCAGTCAAATTTCTATACCAACAAAACTCCAAATAATTTATATTAATAATGAAATAGTTTAATATATATGTGTGAAACTAACCTTTTTATTATTAGTAATAAGACAATCGTAAACTATTCAAAATTTCAAATAAATATATCGTGTTGTACAAATGAATTTGGATTATACACGAATTAAACATTTTATTTATTTATTTTAATATTATATATATTATGAAAAATAAAGCCTGACTTAAAATTTTTATTTAAAAGAAGAGTACATTTACATTCCATTAAAATATGTTTCGTAAGCTTTATAATAAATTATAATATTTTATTGAGAAATTTATTGAATGAAATTGTATGCAAATAAAAGTAAAATAAAAATATACCAATAATTATATCCGTGTGATTCATAAAATGTTTAATAAATGCTAATCCACATATAATAGAAAATGCATGAGTCTATAATGAGATTATAACTAAAAAATTTTTTATAAAATTTTTATATTTGATTACAATCTAAAACCATTCAAAGCATCTTAAAATATAATGGACTTAATCAATACGTTTAGATCTTTATTGTGAAATAATGCGTAAAATGCATTAAGTACACTTCTACTACATAATAAATGTCTTAATAATAGTTGTATCACAGTAAATGGGGTTTCATCGTTCTTTGGGAGAGTGGTGAAAATAAAATTTCGTTAATGCAAAATAAGCACATTCAAAAAATATTAGTTATATTCCAATAAATATTTAATAATATAAAAATACGTATTTATTAAAATAAAATATATAATTTTTCACTGTGTATTCGATTTTTTACTATGATTAAATAATTTTTATATACAATGAGAAGAAAATTCATTTGTACAAATATAGTATTCTTATAGATTATTATGGTCACTATACTACTATTAATGCTGATACCATAATATGTACTACCCATATCATTACTACAACGACTATTTCTTCTTCTTTTTTCTTTCTGTATTCTTTCACCAAATAATGCAGCTTATGATGCAGTGGTACTTCTTAATTTGAAGAAATAAATACCATACAATTACAGCGGCATGACTAAGCTCGTCGGTTGAATTTTTGTTCTATCATCTACGTCTCCAATTCACGTTTCTTCCTTACTTTCATGAAATAGCATTGTAGCATACAATTTATGTTTGGCGACCTTCACTTTTGCTCATTCCTCGATCCTTGAATGTAATTGTATAAATATTTATTCTTCGAGACAGTTATTTATTATAACTGATACTCGTTTGTCCCCACGTCTAAGATTTGAAGTAGATGATGAGTCAGTGGAATTTAATATTTTATTCTTCTAAGTAAAATAAACATTTCAAGGTACGCTTTTTTCTCGTGTCAGATGGTTGAATGCGAAAGAAGTAGTCTTCTTCATTTTTAGATCAACTTTCATCATAATTACTACAATTAATTTGGCTATTTACGGAAGGATTCATGGTAAGTGTCGGTAATACCACTACTATTGCCATCACCACCGTCGTCATTACTATAACTACCATTGCTACCGTCACGAAAACTATTATTGTAGTTAATACACTATTCTAACACTTATTCTTCTTCTTCTTCTTCTTCTTCTTCTTATTATTATTATTATTATTATTATTATTATTATTATTCATTTTTATATAAAACCCTATAATGAACTTTTAGCGTATAGAAGATGTACGATGTATAAAGCATAAATTAATTATTCATGATTTTATCATTACGCTATTTTAAAGTATGATATTTTCCCGTTAATATTAAACAATTAGAAATTAATTTTAAACAAATATATATGACAAGTATAAAATTAAATAAGTAAATTTAAACAATATTTAAAATTTGTTAATTTCGAAAGATTGTACATGTTTTTATAAGTTAATATATATATATATAATCAAATATTAACTGTTAGTATATATTTATATATATTTATAAACTACTATTATTTAGGAATATATATTTGTACATGAATTGTGGGTTAGTATTGATATATTCTATTCATACAATATTATATACTAATTATAGAATGATTCACAAATAGAAATAACAAAAGTATTTATAATTATACGTTTGTGCTTTAAATATTTTTCGTAACACTGTTACTAATTGGAAAAACAATTTTATATTAATTTAAAAACAATTTTAATTGATTCTATACTACATTCATGTATAAATGTATATAGTTCTTTTATAGTTATGAACGCATACATAAAATATTTAGCATTATTTAAAACCTAATAACAAAAGTTTATGAAATTCTTGTCACTGTAGCTCCTATTCATTTAAAATATTTACTAACTTGAATGATGAAATGCATTAGACTATTCAATTAATAAAATGGCCTTTCAAATATTAACTGTAATAAACATTTTATAAAATAATGCAGAAGGTATAAAATTATATTACATAAAATCCATAGAATTATAAATTTTTAATAACAAAAATTATGTTTCAATATTATAATTTTCATTTTTAAGTAAATAAATTATTCATGTTAATTTTACATATTTTTCGATATACATCGTATCATTCGTTAATCGATTTTACATATGTAATGATAATATTGCATATTTATTAATTGATATTCGATTTATAATTATTAGCATTCATGAATTATAAAAAAAGAAGTATCTTGTGTTATACATTTATTTAAACTTCAATTTCATGAATCAAGTCATAGACAAATCTAAAAAATATATTATACATTTTGTAAATAGTTTCTAATTTGTTCTATATTATCAAATACATTCATTAATAAATCATGTAAATAAGATTATAAATTCAATATACAAGTTGCGAACACAAGGCGAAATCCCATTTACTAAGAGAACTTGTAATTTAATCATAAATGCATTTTTATTAACAAGATAAATTTTCCTACTGAAGTGGTAAAAACAATTGACGACATTCTATTGTAAAAGTTCAAATAATTTGTATGTGTATACGATAAAGAATTTGAAAGAAGATACGATTTTTTATTATTCAATATCTCGTCATAACTGTAAACAGAAATTCATGTATAGAAGACTACTTATCTGTAAATGTCGATGTGTATCATATATTAATATTAATTCTGTGTTGTATATAAGTATGTGTACAAGGACAAAATATATGTATCATTATTTATAATGTATAATTTTATTGAAATATAGATTATAATGTTTTTATAATTCATAATTATTTTTCCAATATATGGATTAAAAATAGAAATTTTGTCCATACATACTCTCATATACAAAAATATATTATTCCGTATGTGATTAAAAATAATTTGTATATAAATTTTGCATATTTAGCTTATAAAAAACTAGGAATTATAAAAACATTTTGTACAAATATTGCCTTCAGTAAAAAGTATCTCATAATTGATTAAAGTCGATAAGTATAAAAAAGCGACTGAGTTTTTTGTATAGCATTTGTTGTGGATCACTAGTTTTTAAGAATTGAATTTTATTATAATAATTATTGAGATCTTTCAGTGTGCACTTATGAATAGTAATTATGTTATTTTGTTAATTTCTATATTTATTTCTAAATGAATTATTTAGAATTTTGTGGAAAAGAAATGCAAAGGACATGTAAAAAATTTGGTGTTTTATGTACTAAATATTTATATATGTGTACTTTAATGTAAGTTGTAATTACTTGTAGATTAAAAGAATGCTGCTTTACAAATAATATAAGAGCTTGAAAGAAAGAGAAAGCCTAAGCGACAGATGAAATTACTTCATATATATATATATATATATATATATACAAATGTGCGCACCTACGCGCGTGCGTGTGCATGCGTTAGAGAGAGAACATAATGTGATGGAATAATTGAAGGGGGGATAAAATTATCAATTAGAGAAGTCAAGTGTATTATATTCATATAGATTATATATTTTTAGAATTTGCTCAGAACTGGATAAAGTTAAGATAATCGGAAGATAGTTAATTATTTTATAATTAGGAAACATATTATCATTACGCGCTAACATTATATTAATAAAATTTAAGTAATAAATATTTTAATCTTAAATTAATTGTTTTATTTAAGTCCTATATTAATTTTTACACCAGATGATATTTTCTTTGTATGCTTTTTCAAGTATTTACTGAAAATATAGATAAATATACAATATATTGACAGTAGTAAATATTGTGAATTAATATTCCGAGTATCATTTGATCAAATAATAAGACCACCGATAATTTTCAATAAATAAATAATAATAAAGTTGAAAAATGATTAAAAATTTTTATAAAAAATTTTTTTATTTTTAATGCTTAAAATTTTCGACAAAAAATGTATATTTGTCAGATGTAAATATAATACGTGTATATCTATTAAAAAGTAACAATTAATGTATACTTAAATAATTATTACAAATGTATATAATATAATATTACTTTACTAATTTATACTTCTAGGTTTTATTAAACTACGTGATTGAACATATTTGGGCAAAATAGTAAAATATTCTTTTCAACACATAATATACATATTTTTTATTTTTTACATACTTACGTATTTATTTTCAACGAAATATAGTCCGTTCTATTGAATTACATTAAATTTGCAGTATATTAATACGTAGTGCAATTTTAAATATAAAAGATTGTTTGTATTAAAAATGTTACGTACATTAAAATATTTAAATATTAATGTTAAAAATGTTCTTTAAACTAGATAATTTGTTTGTTAAATATATTTAGAATTAATGAATAATAATAAAAAATTTCATTTATATTTAAAAATAATATTTATTTTACATTAATATTGTTTTTATATTTCTTTCATATTTGCGGAGTTAAATAAGAAACAAAATGTTTAAAAATTCATTTACAATAGTTGAAATAATCAGATAAAATGTTATAAAGTGATAAGGTAGATAAAGCAAGAATGAGTAAAATAGTTCGATTCTGATAAAATCGTAGTATATAAAGTTTTAATATTAATACAATAAACTTTGCATAAATAGTCGATAGCCTAATTTTTTTGACACTATGAATTTAACATTATTACATAATAGAGCATAATAAAACATTTTTAATTGTGAGGTATATATTGATATCTGATTCTTATTAGAAATTTAATTTTCAAAAGAAAATTAAAGAAGATTCGTTTTCAATAAAGTAATAATATATGTAATCAAATATTAATTTAGAATCACTAATAATTATACTTATTTTTTATAAGTACTTTAGAATACTCAAATTTAAATGTAATTGTCAGTAAGATTACTTTTTAATAATATTTTATATTAAATAGATTCACAAATTTTGTATTTATAAATATCTTATTTATAAATATATAATTTAATACTATTATTTATTGTTAAATCTAATGCATTGCCTTAATATATATATATATATATATATATATATATATATATTAAATAAGTTTTTGTACAGAACTCTAAATTAAATATAATAATTATTACAATAAAAAACATTTTACAAAAAAAAATTCTATATACAATTTGAAATAATTTATATCATGAAATTATATAATATATTCTTTAATAAGAATGATAAAAAGTTCAGTAATAAATAGATGCGCATGCAGATAATTTTCTTTTACAATATTTCAAAAATAATAAATTATTAATTATTTACTAGATATTTATTGAAAGCTTTGTGCGTGTTTGGCACTATTTATTCCAAAGCATATTTTAAAAATGATAATTATTATGTGAGTTGTCATACATTTTTTATAAATCGATAATTGAAATACATAAAAAACTTGATGTAATTGACGTACTAATATTTTTTACCATGAAAATTTTTAATGAGATTGAATATAGTTTAGATACTTTGTTGAATTATATGTGAAAAAAATACAGGATAAATAAATTAGTTTCATAATTGCTATTGGTTAACCACTAATGTAGGAATACTGTATCTGTATTTTTTTTATAAAATTCATGTTATTAATTACACTAAAGGTAATTCAATTCTACTACAATGAAGAGATACTTGTATCTGTGGCTATAAACCATCCATATATATATATATATATATATATATATATTGTTCGGGATTGATGCAGTCCCATGAATTTCAAACAAAAGAAAGGTCATATACGCAGTCCGGCGTACCGTATGTGCGCCTAGACTGACCGCGCGTGCACCAAGGCTGACCATCACGTGCGGACCGAGACGGGTACTCGAGCAAAATGTCTCGAGCTAGTACTCGAGCAAGAAGACGCCGCATGCACATTTAAGCGCAACGCGCCATGAGGCGACGCTCATTCGTAAAATCACTTCGCTCTCAATCAAGCGTAACTGCCGGTCAGTGCATAGTATACTGTAAAGACGCCGCGTGGCCATATTTTCGGCAGCATAGTAAAGAGTACCCGCG